GCACCACAAATATGTGTCAGAATTAATTTGTTTTGGGGCAAAGGACTAACGCTTTTAAAGATACTGCAGGTCAAACATCCTGAACACTTCAGTTTTCCATGTGAGGGGCTTACCTACCTTCTGAGGGGCTTTCCATCATCCACAATGGTGGAGATTGGAAAGGTTTGGCGCTCGACGTGACATAAGAATTCCTCAGAGTGATCTTTCACACCCCCTCTCATCCCCTCTTTCCCTCTCCGCCTCATGTGAGGGGCCCGTTTCATATCAGAGAGGCACAGATCAGCGTGAAGCCAAGCGGCACGAGTACTTAGGTCACAGTGTACCACATTAAATTTAGACTCCTTTAACACCCTCCAATAATGCATCTGGAGTATTTCCGGTCATAACTATTCAGAATTTTCTATCTAAGATACAAACTTCTGTAAATAGGCCATAGATCTAAGCTTCCGTTCACCACTGGAGATTTCACATCAAATCTGGTGTCTGTCACCAGTTGAAAATTTCCTCGCCAGCCCCAGTTAAGCCACTGGTGATTCAAACTCCAAAATAAACTGTCCCACTAGACCCAAAGCTTCGTAGCCGCTCTCAGTTAAGTTTTTTAAACTTATTTTAATTAGCACTCCCTAATAGACCAGCACCATGTTCAAACTGAGCCTCAAATGTGAAAACTAAGATCTGATTTACAAGGTATGAAACAATGCAGAGACACCAGAATTTTTTGAGGTTGGCATTCCTGTGGGGATGTTTTAGTTGAACTAGCTCTTTTGAAAAATTCTTTCAAGTTGGGTCGCGCTTCCACATTTAACTATGTAACATTGAACAACTCAAATAACCTTTGCACTTTGGAGGAAAAAAATGCACCAATTATAAGCACATGGACATCATTTCAGCTTTAGTAAATTAAGTTTTCTGCATGATATTAAAGAAAATGTAGATGGAAGGAATCTGGACGTCGTTGGCCATTGATGCGGATTTCAGTCACATGTTGAAATGTTTATCAAACCAATCTTGGGTCAAATACTTTTGCTGAAAACTAGCAACATCCTGCGAGCATAAACTGACAACAAGCCGTGTTCCAACAAAGTGTACATTTTCATGGGCTGAGGGGGACCAGCAGAGCTTATTTGAAGCATTCCCCCCAAACAAAATCATGTTGCTTCCTTTCATGCGCGTTCTTTGCACCAAACGTAGCAAAGACTCATCAATCATACAATCTTGAATGATTTTAAATTCATCAAAGAAAGAAATGAAGAGAAAGTCAAATTAAAAAACAAGAATTATAGTTCAAAACTCCCATCTCTGTAAAGCTGCAACTTTGCATTCTTCCGTCTGGTGTAACAGTGAGTAAAACGGTTGTTTGGATGAACTGCTATCTGCTGACAATCACAGCAATTTGGCTTCTACATCCCATCTGAAATTCTACAAAATCGCAACATTACAAAGAAAAGACAAGCCTTCATTCTAAAGTGAGAACCAAACAAGACTGTTTCTGACATTGCAAAAGTGTCACTGATTCACCAGCTCTTCACCTGCAAAAAGAGTCTCTGAGAAGAAATGCAGAATGCGGAGGCATTGTAACACCATCTTATATTTAGTCATTAATGGGAGTTGTTGGATGATATGTGAAAGTTTCATTTTTTTTATTACATCCCTGCAAATAACATTAGCTAGTGTAATATTTAACCTAATTTTACCAGTGTGGTGTCTGCATTCAGTTAAAGGTAAAGCTCCTTCCGTTACAAATGTTGTTTTAAACATTTTAAAATGGTACTGTGACTGTTGGTCTGGTGGGTATCAAGAGCCACTTACACATTGTAGTGCTACAGAAGGCAGATGATATAAAATTGAATTTGCTTTAATAAAATAATTCAGTTCTAAATTGCTATCCTTAATGCAGTATTAGGAACTGCAGAATTCAGTGGTAGTGCACTCAACTATCGAGTCCTTTGTATAGTTTGTTCCTAAAGTAAGTTATAATTGGTTGATGAAATTACAGGGACGTTCTGCCAAGGTACAGTAATACTGAGGGAGACTGGGTGCCTGCATGGAATAATTATTTTATGGAACACATTGGCTCACGGAAAATGTGGTTTGCTGGAATGTCAAAATGTTGTTTAATCAATTGATTCTTTGCTAACTTCTCGTCCATAATTTCTGTATTAGGACAGATCTCTTTGAAGCGACAGTGAGCCACAAAGAGCCTTGTGACCTGGAGAAAGCTGAACAGATGAAATTAGTAGATGAAATTAATAACACTTTTTACACTCCTCCTTTTACAACAACTAAACTAGCATTTGTATCTTGAAACACTGACGAAGTGCAATGCTTTTCACCACATGTGAGAACAAATCCCAGCTTCTCTACACTTCAACAGACAAGAAACGAAACGTCTGTCATCACATACATCCATATATCCATCCATCCATCCATCCATCCACCTGTCTCTTCTTGCTGTCCAGCATGAACAGAGCCCTTTCACTAAATTTGAAAATGCTCCAGCCACAATAATGCTGCCATACTCCAGAGGCTTGCGAGCCCCGTGCCAATTAACAGCTTCCTTAAATTGTGCAAAAACATATTTTCTTAAGAGAAAATAAATAAAAGAAAGGATTTTACTCTAACCGTGGCCTCTAATCTGAACCCCGAAATTAAACCGCTGATTAAAGTCTGGTTTCATGTTCATTATGAAGGAGCTGAAATGTTTGTCTCAAAACAGCTTTTTCTTCTATCTCCGGCCAACACAAACATTTGATCAGAATATAATACGACATGAAATGCTGCAACATGCTCACAAAAGAGCTGGGATCCGGTGTAGGGAAAAGTCGGCTGGTATTTAATCCGGAAATAACACTGAGACAAACTAATACTCAGACCTTGATGTGCGATTCTCCATGGCAGGAAACCACACAAAACGTCATCTGTCAACAACCTTGCCATTTGAAAAGCAACATAATGTTATTTGTGCTTTCCGAGTAGCCTCTTTCTCCTTAACGAAGGAAAATTATTTTCAGATGACTTTCCGTCAAAGTAGATGACAAGCATTTCCACAGCGTGGGGACACTCGCACGGCACTCAGCATTGAGCACACAAATACAGCCAGACTATCGGTATTAAAAGAAAAAAAAAACTCAAATAACGGTGCGGACAGCAGCAATCTCAGCCGATCTGTAGCTCCTGAGTTTGTTCTGTGCTGCTGTGAGGTCTCACACCACGACAAGCAGCACTACCTTACATAACCAAACCATCAATATATTGTCTCTGCAAAGGGAGTTAATGAAAGATGAAAATAACACTCTTTTTCTCCCTATTAATGATTTCCACAGCCTTTAAAGGCCTGCTCTGTGATCCACTCCAGTCTTGCAGCGCAGCAGAACTTCTGCTGAAGTAAGCCTTTCTACTGTACTTAAAAAGGTATTAACACTCAGGGTTAAAACACTCAGCGCTCTGCATGCAGGATAAGAAACGAGTATCCTCAGAGAGACTTATGCTGCTGGTGTGAGGAGGGAAACTGTGTCTGCAGCTCCTCCGACGTCGGTTTCTGCGGACGTCCTCCAAAGCCCGAGTCCGAGCCCAGAAATGTAATCCTAAAAAATGCCTCGTAAGTCTGTAACAAACAAACTTTTTATTGTTTGATTTCAAGCTACATTACATTCATACTGGATTCATACTTGGATGACATGTCAGACGGCAACAGAGGCCTCTGTGGTATTAAACAGAACATCAAACCAACCCACAAACAGCTACATGCATAAAAAAAAACTAATTACTTTCTACTTTATTTCTACATACTTAAAAATTAATCAATTGTGTGCTTATGTTTCAGATTGCATAATCTGATTGGAGTGACTCAGTTAAAAATTACGCCAGAAGTAAATTTAAGAAACTCCAAATAAACTAATTTGGGCAAATGTTAATGCTTTAACTGAACAACTTCTTAAAGTTTTATAAACTTTTCTACAGGTTCTCCACTGTTAGTACTCTCACTATTATTCCATGTAAGAAAAAAAAAGGACAAAGATAGTGTTGCAGAGAAACTCCTTTAACAGAGCAGATTGTCCCACTGGTTTTTTTTTTTCACCCATTCACCATTACATAACAGACCAAAGGCGTGCTTTTTCCTGTCTTTCTCTTCCCAGACGCACTTTAATCCGCTGTATAAAAGGGTGGGGTGAATATGGGTCAGCAGGTTAGGAGTATCTCAAAGTCAGACTTGTGGAAATATAAAAAAAAAAAAAAGAAATCAATCCAGGAAGCCTCCCAACTACCTGTCTTTTCCTCTCTATTACATAAGAGCTCTGGCTGCATGAGCCAACCCACAAAAAGTCAGACGGATTCGCCGGAGCGGTGGATAAATACGCGCTCAAGTGCTGTGCGTTTGAAACTTAACCACCCTGGCGATAATGAGGAGTGGGTGAACTGTTTTGTTTTATTAAGTGAAAAGATCTGCGGTGGTGATTTCTGCTCTCGGTTGCGCGCCTCTGTTTATGGCTAAACCTGTTACATAACCAGCTTACATTCCACATTCACCGTATCACGTTCTAAATATACACTTGCGCACAGGGGGAGTGCGCACACAGGACCGCCGCTCAATGAATTAATTGTTACACCTACAGTCGTAAGACTTAAGTGTAACGTTAACCACCTCAACTCCGCTCGTCAGCAGCCAGCCGAGAAAATCACAGTTTCTTTGAACTTGGCTGAGCCCGGGTAGCCTTCACTCGAAACAGCCGAGTGGGGGTGTGGTTAAATACTGTCTTGTACTGTACAACATGGACGGGACGTGATGGATAAATCATAAAAAAAGAGAAGAAAAAAAGAGAAGGGTGTGTGTGTGGGGGGGACAAGGCTTCCCGTCGTGCTGCAAATGCATGCTCACTTTTGACAGGCTGATTTGAAGGCTTGTTTCATGTTATTGTCGGATCGTGAGGGGGGGGGGGGGGGGGGGGATCGGTCGCCAAAGACGTGCATCGCCTTCACGCTTGCACCAGCGTTGGCTGGCACTAAACAAATTCCAGCTGCTGGGGCGGCTGTTTCGCGCAGGAACAGTCGAAATCTGCGAGCAGGAGATGTCAAAAATATAATAATAATAATAAAATCCTGCCAGACGACGCTGAGTGCAGCGCCAGGCACGGTGGAGGACACGTCCCTACAAAAAAAAAAGGGGAATGGGAACTGATCGATAAAGTAACCAACAGTTTCCTAAAAGTTCACTTTCGACACTTTGACCATAACGCGTCGGGTTGCACGGGGCTGGCCCGTTTGGGCACGAAAAAAAGACGGTCCCGGTGGTCGATTCGGAGTTGTTGGATAACTGATTAATCTCGCGCTCAGAGTAAAATGTGACATCTGTGACCGTATCAGCCCCGTGATCCGGGCTGTCAGAGGAACCCCCGAACACCAGAGGCTCACATCGAAGCTCTAATTAAAAAGCGAGCGCGCAAAAACGCGGCGGCGGTTTGGTGGAGAAAAAGCGGCGTATACCGGCGCGCCGGGCTGAATTTTTAGACAGGGCTGCTGTTATTTATGAGGCTGCCATTTGATTCATTTCTTTTTAAGTTGGATTCAGAAAAAAATCCTCTATCGCTCCCCAAAAAAAACAACAAAAAAACGTCAAATGCCACCGGCTTACCTCTGTTTGTGCTGGAGCAGGTCTGCCTTCGAACCGGGGCTGGATGGTCCGCTTTCCGGAGCGTCTCCAGGTTTACCGGGGTTTCCCTGACCGGGGTAGCCGGCTCCGAGGCGCTGTTGCCCGGGTCGCTCGCTGGATCTGGCGGGGACTCCATGTTGAATTTTCAGATTTCACTGTTCAGCTACCACTAGTACTTCAAACTAATTTGTCTGCGACCTGTGAGCTCCGGCACTGCGTCTTGCTATCTAATTTAGACTAGAAGTAAGAAATGAGAAATGCGAGTGTGTCTGGAGGTGGGTGTGTAGGTTTGATTGTCCACTAGCAGCGCTAGTGAGAGCTCCAGTCATGCAGGCTGGAAAGGGAGAGGTTGTCAATAGCCGAAGAATAGATGTAGGCCTGAAAGTAATCCACGCCGATCGACCCAGCTCCGTTTTTGCTTTGGAGTGGACACGTTTTATTTCTGTTTAACCATTCCAGACGGAAGGATGCATTTATGCATCATATCATTCAGACTGCTGGCCTTTAAATAGAGCTGTTTGTTTTTTTTATCGCGATAATATTTGAAAACTTGGAACTGTCCTGATCTAAATGCAGCACTCAGCCTTTTTTGTCACTTTGATTTAATCTCAAACTGCAAATGTCTTCCAGCCATTGCTATATAGTCCCATATATAAATATATATGGGACTGTATATGTATGTGTGTGTGTGTGTGTTATATGTTAGTAAATGTGTTTATACATTGATTTTTTTAAAACGCCAGCGACGTAGCAACGTCAGTGTTTGTATTTTCTGTCAAAAGCTGCAGACATGCATGAAATATTCACAGTAAATTCCTTCAGAGGGAATGCCTTTCCTGGATGAAGGAGCTGTCTGAAGGGTGCTCCCGGCTACAAAACTATCCAACTTTAATGTCCAAGAATTCAAACAGGGGCAGTCAGAGCTCGCTTCATTATTTTCATCCACATCATCATCATCACCGTCGCTATCATGATAATCTTCATCATCCCCGGGGACGCACGGACTGCACATCTGCTTTGTCTGCTGGAGCAGATGAAAGGACTCTTCTCTTTGCTCACAGAGGAACATGTGGGTCTTCGCTCTGCCTCATAAAAGAGCCAAGTGACAGTAGTTTGGAGACAACGCTCTTCAACATATAGAGCCGCATAGGGCTGCCGTCATATCTCAATCCAAACGACAATTCTATCCCTCCTGTTGCGCAAAAATGATAAGCATCATGCTTTCTGCATGTGATCATTAAGCTTCGAGACGGAACCCGGCTCTTCAAAGCAGTGCACGTGGACTTTGACATGGTCCTGCATTCCACGCACAGAGTGACAGATCACAGACAGGTCAGCCATAAAAGAGGCCGGGCCACAAGTTTCTGCCATATGGATCATTATGTAACAGTAAGCTTCTGAAACCTTTACCTCCCCCCCCCAAAAAAAACATTATCAGGTGCTGAGCTACAGAAGGAAATTCCCTCAAAATTAAAAAAAGCCATTTTATAGTAGCCTTTGTTAAAGCTCACTCAGAGAATAAGTAATCAAATGTTTTCCAGGCCATCTAGGTCTTTTCAACGTCGCCAAACTGGGTCTTTTCCAAGACCCATTGAAAATGTGACCTTTCGGTTTGGTTATCTTTTCCTTTTTTTAAGTACATGTGGATCAAGATAATTGAAACTACTTTCCAAATGTTTTCTTTCAGATAAAAAGAAATAAATAGTTCCAGAGATTATATGAGAAATTTAACAGACCTGTTTTTTTTTTTAACAGGACTGGTTGTGAGTTAATAAGGAAATAAAGGGATAAGTTTAGGTTTTGGGCATTACCCTGCCTACAGGGGGCAGCAGTCTGAACACTGACCCTAACAGCTCCTCTGAGCAGGGACAAAAGAACTAACTTTATAAGCCAGCTCAAACCTTAAAAGGTTACAGCAGGTAGCAACTTTATAGTTTTTTTTGTAATTCTTTTTTTTAAACTCATTTATGATTATTACAACAAAATCATGCCTCCTATTTTACTATTTCCTTAGCTGGAAAAAAAACTTGCAAGCCTATCTTGCAACCTGGATGTCTTTGTTTTCTGCTAAAATATGTGGTAACATTCTAGTAAACACGTACATGTTTAAATCACTAATATTTACTGTCTCGTAGATTGTTTTTTTTTAATCAGTCTGACAGAACTGTGAGTCACAGCTGATCAGTGGCAGGAGACACCAATCACCCAAAGGGCAGACACTGAATGGCTCTATGTGCAGAGCAACACACATGAACGTAGAAAATGGTGACAAATTAAATGCAGCTTCCCCTGAACTGCTCTGAAATGTTTCAATTTAAGTAGTTTAGTTCTAGGTATCCTGGAAACTGTCCATTTCTCAATTGAGAGTGGTCTGCTTGACACAGACTGCAGGTAACCATCATCGGTACAGCCCCACCTTAAAATCCTGACCACTCCCATGACCTGTGTTTCAGTGGTATTCACAATCAAAAGTAAGGTCGTGTCCGAATAAAACAACTAATTTATCTATCACTGTGTTTACAGTTTTACATACTTCTTTCCACACTTAGAGAGAATGGCTAAACAACCAGAATGACTAAACAGCCATTCTGTCTAATTTGCTTTCGGTAAGGTTTAAATTCTAACAACCATAAAATTAAAACTAATTTGCTTACAGCGAGGGAATAGCTTAGCATATTAAATCATGTCAAACTATAAGAAACAAACCGTCCTAAATAGTGCTCAAAACCTACAGTGCAGAGGGACAAATCACATGCAAAGAACTAAGTAAAAAATCATCTGCTTTCATGTTTCCAGTGGTGCATCCTGCATGCAATTCTCCAACAAGGCTGTGATATAACTTTCAGAGCTACGTTGTGCAGAGGGACGGCTTTTTGATAGAAAGCCAGAAAGAATCTCTCACTGCCAAGCAAAGAGGCCAAGATCCATTCCTTCTGCTCAGCTTTGGCTCCTCCAGATTTCGCTGACCTCCTGACCCACTGGACTATGACGGCACCAGCCCAACACTCACATTCCATGCCTGTTGCATGTTCGGCAAGGAGGCTGAGAAACATTTTGTGCATGCTTTTCACACACTCACACATAAAAAAGCTACACGAGCAACACATCTGCATAAACAGCTGTTTAAACACGGACGTACACCTAACTGGAATTTAAAACGGAGTTGTGCAAGGTTAGCGCCGAACCGGCCCGGCATGCACGGATTCATGGAGCAAGGATAAAAAGTCCATCTTTTTTCCGCACCTTCAGAATCTATTCTCACTGTAACACACAGTCACACACCGCCGTCAGACCCACACACTACCTTGTGTTCGGAACAAAAAAGGCGCAAGGACGAGTTTGATGTTGCTGCTTTAATTTTTGAGTAAAAATGAATTATGCTGCTGTCATATTGTTGAGCGGGGGGAAGGATGTGGCGGATGTGAAGCGAGCAGAGTAAGCATGCCTTCCATGATCAGATGATTGATTAAGCTGACACTGGCTCAGGGGTGCAACACCGTTCTATTTTTTCTCCCTCATTATGTAAGGCTATATTTCAAATCAGGAGTGCACTGGAGGAAGACACCAGAGACACAAGACAGGACACCCTTCAAATAAAAAGTTTATCAGACAGCAGCCAAGGAGACTGATGAGTTTCCCCTCTAATCTTGTCTTGGAGGTGGGGACGGAAAAGAGAATATGTGTTGTTGTTTTTTCCCCGAGTCAACAGGGTTATCTATAGACAAGACAACCAGCAGTCCCCCAATAAGTTCACAATTAATGTGCAGAGGGTTGAATCGATAATATACATAATTGATTTTGATTTTTTTTTAAAGAAAAAATGCTCAAAAACAGGCTTTTTTTTCATGCAGTCATGGCAACATATCTTTGTTGCTTTACAAATCAGACATCAGAAACTCAAGCCCAGCAAACACGCAGCTCTCTGCATGCTTATATGCAATGCAGAGTGGCAGAGTGTAATGAAAGAGACATATTAATGGCCTTTCACTTATTCATGTGTCGGAAATGAAGAGGCACAGCCACATTTTGAAACGCTTGACAGAATAAAGAGCCAACATTGGGGAAATGATTGTATTTATGATTTCAGCCTGACAGATGAAGGTATCAAGAGAGAGACTGAGTGACACTTTTCTGACGGTTCAAAGTGTTAAATGATGTGATGTATGGCAATCTACACGAGCACCGGGGCACCAGTCTTTGTACATTTTCGCATTAAGAATCAGTGGTGTACTAGTGCAGGCCTGGGAGGCAGTTCAACAGTCTTTGCTGTTATTTCAGCAAACATTAGAAGCACAGCATTTCTGCACAGAATTTAATGATAAGCATAAAAGTCAGCAAAATGAACTACGGAATTTGGTATTGCGATCTGAAATAGTTCTACATTGCATGGGTTTGGCAAATACACCAGTGTTGCTTTACTCAGTGTTGTCTCCCTCAGAGACAGCATCACTAGCACCACCTAGCAGCAGATTGACCACAGTAAATCACTGTTTCCACACTCTGCCTCAGGTTGCTAACACATTATGTCTGTATGAAGTCAAAAATTCTCAACTTTCCACACAGATCGTGCAAGAGTGTGATTACATACTTGTAACTACATGAGTAAATCAGCAATTTCCTCATGTTTTTAGGGATTATGGCAAGGAAACTGATGTTTAAGTTGCAATTTTACTGTCACTTTATAAAATCTTTATATAAATTACCACGATATATGTGCTGACCGTGTGATTCTTTTAAATTTTAAGCATATGGCTCATTTTGACATCTTCTGCAGCTTTACAGTTTTCCATAGATAGAACTGTTGCATGTTTTCTGGGCACAGAGCCATCAAAATATACAGGCAGAGTTATCAAACCTTCCTTATGCATGCTGTTAAATTATTATACGGCGACTGAATACTGAATAGTTAAAGGTTCTGATATGACAGCCACTACTCCAAAATACCCGGCTGTGAATGGGACGCACTACAATGCAGAAATAGAGACTGGCAGGTTAAAGTGAGGTCCTTCCTGTCAGCATTAGAATTGACTCATGGCATGCACACAGAGTTCATATGACTTGGGACTGGAGTGATTTTCTCAGTTAAAAATCAGGAGGTGAAAAATGGCGTGGTTATTTGTGCCTGACAGAAGTTAA